AAATAGCGACTAAAAGAGGAAATGTTCAACAGAAATTCACATTCCTAAGTATAAATAAAACCTACAACAGATCAATAAACTTCAGAACAAAGCAAAGACCAAATAATAGTATAATTCAGCAAATTGAAACGAAAAAGTGTTGAGATCCTGTACAGCCTGATGCATCATGTGTTATGTCAGACATTGACAAATTATTTTCATCTTGCTTGGGCCTGTCCCCGGCAAAAGAAAGAGAAATACTGCAAGAAACTCTGATGCAGAATTATCTTAATGTGTCAAAATACCAAACTGAAGCTGAAGTTGGGTGTGTTAACCTGCCAACATCAACACACCCTGATATCATTTACAAAAACATAAAGGAGCAGAAAGATAAGGATGACCTCTGAAAAATCTGCGAACTATTCCGGACTACCAGCACTCATTCCTTTCCTCCCTGCATCCATCATCCCTCCTTTATTCTGGTTTAGATGTGTCATCAGCTCTAGCCCTTTTGCCTCTTTCTCTCCTTTCACTCCAAGCTGAATCACTCCTATTAAGGTCAGATTTGTCTCTCTTTCTCTCCACCTCTTTTTCTCCCCCTCTTTGCTCATTTTCCTGCCCAGTACACATAATGAATGACTGAAAAATGTGCACTGTGTGTCAGCGTTTGAGTGTTTGTGTGAGAGGACACAATTTCAGAGGCAACGTATAACTCTGAATGAGAGGGGACAGACAGGGAAAACAGAAACATGAAGGCCGATGAGTAGATGGTGACAGAAATAGAGGTCACTGAAGAAGACAGAGGAGTGTGGGGAGGAATGAATGACTGCAACTGTTGACCCTCAAAATGACAGTCAAAGAGCTAAAGAGGACAAAAAGATTTACATCAAGAAATAGAAAGAGGGGCACTATGAAAAGATGTGACTAAAACATGTGGTTAACTGAGTCATTGTGGAAAATGCAGCAACAGAGAAAGAAAAGAAAGAGGAAAATTGCCTACGCAGAAATACATCACTTTTTGAAGCCTTAATGATGATGATGACATACAACAAAAATCTGAGAATTAAAAAAAGGTCAGAAGGCGGAGAGGGGCCAGAAGACACATGAAGTTACATGAAGCAAATATTTTAATATTATTATTGAATCTAATGGCTGGTTGTAAAACAGATGCTAGTCCTGCTGATCCCACTGTGAATCAACACCTATGTGTGAACCTGTGGTTCTTTGCAGCTTTCAGCACCTTTCAGCTAACTGTTTAAGGCCCCATCCACACTACTCCGTTTTAGTTTACAAACTGAGAATTAAAAGGAATACGATCTCCGTCCACACCAGCGTTTTAGCTGCGTTTTGGAGTTGATCTCCGTCTACATTAAAACGACTGAAAAGTGGGCATGCGCGTGCCGGTGTAAACATGAAGCAGATGGTCTATTCTGTAGTTACAGAAGATTTGGTGTAAGAATAAATAAATACAGACTTAGCATCAGACCAGTTTTTTTTTGTTGTTGCATGCACCAATAACGAGCTGGGACTGTTACTGAATGTAACACAGGAGTGTGTATAATACGATATCAAAAACACGGTTAGCAGCATCGTGTTCGTGCTTTGCAAGACCCAATCAGAGAGCCGAGCGTGAGCGACTGCGTCATCGTTTCTAAAGTCCTCCGTTTTGGCCCGTCTTCACTAAAACGCGTTTTGAAACGCAAAAAGGGGTCGGCAGCATTTCCAAATTTCTCCCGTTTTATGTCTTCATTTTCGTCGTTTTAGTCTGGAGGTGCAAACGTAGCAAAAGGTCTCCGTTTTAATTTGAAAACACAGTAGTGTGGATGGGGCCGAATTTTGCTGCTCTAAAATACAACACAATGCTGATTTATATAAAACTGTGTGCACACGAGATTACACAGGCTAACTACAATATGCGACTGGTGAAGAAATTCAAAGATTTATCAACTGTAAACAACATTTTTAAAGTAACCCGGCAAGACCTAAAAGACTTAGCAAATACTGACAGAAACACAACTTCAATGGGATGTTCATGTTTCTCTGTGTCTGCTGGATGTGTAAGCAAATAACTGTTTGCTAACACTTTAGTGATAATAACTTAAGCTAAATACTCATTGCTGTCTGTTTGTTTAGGGGGCTTTCCACCCTTTTGGTCCAAAATAATGCTGATTGATAAAATACAGTTCCGCTAATTACAGGTTGCACACTCTTCAGGGGTAAAAAAGATTAAATGAAGAGTATAGTGTTATATTGATGTGAAATGAAGTATTGATGAGAAACTAGAAAGTGAGAAATTAGTAACTGAATATAGCTACTGTGTCTAGGTTAATAATAGCTAAGATTGTACTTTAGACGCACAGACTGACAAAGAAGACTTTAGGAAGGATAAAGGGTGACACAAATGAATAGAAGATGTTTGATGTCCATCATATCTATCATTTTCCCCTCTTTTTATTTATTTCCACCATTACTGTGTCAGTAATCCACAACAGAAGAGTCTTTGTGGCTGGAGAGAATAAGATAGAGATGAACAGAGAGAGAGGAGAGAAGGGGAAGATGGGGAGGGTGATTACGATGTGAGGGTGTGAAGGAAATATGGCAAATAAGAGATAATATCTTTAAAAGTCTCACATACTTGAGCTTTCTGCTCAACTAGATGTTTTACAGCAGGCGCACACACACAGACAAAGTGTCACACCTGAAGAGTGTGTAAAAGAAAACAAAACACTGGAAATGTCTGTTCAGAGCCAAACCACAGACAAAAACACACACTCACACAGGCAGAGTGTGGTTCCCATGCTCGTCCCTCGTAAATAGCAGAATTGGCAGAGAATACATAGATTATAATCAGCCCACACACACACACACACACACACACACACACACAAAGAAGTGATCTCAGACTATTTCTGCTCACCTGTAAGCAGGTGGAGAGGATACCACATGATGTTACAGTTGTTTTATAAGCCTTTGTGTTCGAGGGTCATTTCCTGGTGTTGACTTAAATTATGCTGTATTGCATCACTGTGTTTATGTTGTAAGACTGTGACACAGTATATTGTATATTTGCATATTTCTCGGTTCCCTATGTCACCCAGCAATCCAAGATGGGCGATTTCTCTTTGAACTGCCTCTTAAAATGTTTTTTCCTTTTGTCTTCGGTGTTAAGGAATTCCCGAGTTATTCCTTATCTTTTTTTAATGTCTATCTCAAATTGCCCAATTTTAATTCAGTTTTTGGCATATCCTAAGACTGTCTCCAAATTGAAATTTTAAAGTCTTGACAGCAAAAAACTACACGAAATACGATTTTTGCTAATTGGATCCAAGCCACCACTGGAGGTGGTTTGAAATGTGATTTCCATCTGAATGTGGCTGCTCAAACTGGATTTTAAGTGTTTGACACGCAATGACAACGTCAAATCCAGAGTGACGGCAGAGTGACAGCTGCCAAGCAAAATCCATGCTGCGTGCTGACAGAGCAGGCGAGAAGATGGAGCTCCACTTGTCATCATGTTTCCACAGACATACCCCACTACAGTTGAAAATTGTCTGCCTACAGTTTGACACTAATTGTTGCCTATTTTCGCTGTAACTAACTAATTTGGGATGGCCATTTGAAGGCAGCAACACTACATGAGCTTGACTAACCTGGCTAATCGAGCTAAGCATGCTACAGCTGATAAACCACAACTGGTGCTTTGGGTAAAACTCGCAACCTACAATTTCTGCTACACCCGTGCAAGTAGTAGACAACATTTGATACAAATGAGAATGTATGTAATATAAAGCTTTACTTGACTGAATATATTTCTAGATTTAAATTGCTTTTAACATGTTTGATGTGAGCTCAGCTTTACAACCAAAAAGCACGTCATAAATTGTCAGGATTTTTTAAATATAAACCTCCGCCCTGCAACTTGGAGCCAGCTGGCAAAGTAACTGACGTTCAAACCACATCAATAGCAGGAAGCATTCAACTGGGAGCAGTTGGCACCACGCTCGCTCTTACGCACGGCAAACAATGGAGCTACCTCAACACTGCATGTGAGTCTGTGTGTATCCGTGTATGTGTGTTTTTATTGTTTGTCCTGTAGGAAAACCTGACAACACACCAGGAAATTAAGGGCACGTGACAGTGAGAAACATTTGAAGGATTTTGTGTTGCCATGTTTGATTTAATTCACAGTTGTGGGGTTTGGTCCACTTTGAAGGCTGATTAAAGAGTCAGTTAACCCAAATTTAAAGAAGATAAACACATTTTCTCATTTACCTCTAGTAGCATCTTGACGTGCAGATAGTTTTGGTTTAATTTCTTCAGGTTATAACATACAATGG